GTGCCGCTGCCCCCTCACCACAGGCCACGCTGCCTCTTGCCGCTGGCCTGCACACGGGGCCGCTGAGCAATGGGGTGACTCAGCAGTAACCCTCCCCCGGGTCCCCCCAGGTGCAGAGGAGAAGATCCTGGCGGAGTTCCGGGATGCCTGCCCGCACGCGGTGCCCCATGACCTGCACCTGCTCCTGGCGGAGTTCCGGGATGCCTGCCCGCACGCGGTGCCCCATGACCTGCACCTGCAGGCCATGGTGCGCTCGGCTGGCAAGCTGGTGCTGATCGACAAGCTGCTGCCCAAGCTCAAGGCAGGTGGGCACAAGGTGCTGATCTTCTCGCAGATGGTGCGCTGCCTCGACATCCTGGAGGACTACCTCATCCAGCGGCGGTGAGGGGCTGCCGGGGCGCGGGGCCTGCAGAAATGCTGGGCCGTCCTGGGGGCTGGTCTGTGAGGCCGGGGATGCAGCAAGGGGCTGCGGTTCCTTCCCCAGAGGCCAGGGCTACCCAGCTGGGGAAGTCCGGGGGCCACACGTGCCGAGTCGCTGTCCCACTGACAGACACGATACAGGATGAAGGGGAGGCTACGCAGCACGCTGGCCCCGTTTAAGTCAGTTCTGCTGATATTGATAAAATGCAAACTGTACCCGATTTCCACCCCACGACAGCACGTCGAACGAGCGACGATAGTCCAGCAATTAGCTACTAAAACGCAGCTCGACAGAAGACCGTGACACTGACTCCTTTTTTGTTTTGGCTCCCACACGCGGGCTGCGTGCGGGCCACGGGCTGCGTGTTGAGTAGCCTTGCTATAAGCCCTACGTAAACATGGTGCTCCCCCCAGGTACCTGTACGAGCGAATCGACGGGCGGGTGCGGGGGAACCTGCGGCAAGCCGCCATCGACCGCTTCAGCAAGCCCGACTCAGACCGCTTCGTCTTCCTGCTGTGCACGCGGGCAGGCGGGCTGGGCATCAACCTTACGGCTGCCGACACCTGCATCATCTTCGACTCGGACTGGAACCCCCAGAACGACCTGCAGGTACCGGGAACCCC